ATTTTGACAAGTTGGACGTTAATTGATCTTTGCATCAGCCATTAGCTCAAATATCAGTTTGTTGTGAGAGGGGAAATGTTATATTGTTCCTGCACATTGAAATAACATCTTAAACCGTTTAAAATAATATATTTAGTCATGGTACTAATGGGCGTCCCCACCTTATCCATCCTCACCCCTGGCAGGAATGTGCTCTCGTGCTGAATTAAAAAACACAAGGTGTGGTGGTATTTTCCATGGACCCCAAATACCTCTCCAAAAATACTTGACATTTGATAGGTACCTTAGGCAGGGTATTCGAGAGCAATACCCTATCCTGAGCCCCAATGACAAAAACAAAACCCAATCTTAATTTGAATGAATGTCTCTGTAATTATTCATTGATTCTCAAGCTGTCAATGATTCTCTGAGGATTTATACAAATGTCATGTGCAGAGCTGTGGTGGGGAGGTGTAAGACTACGTCTGCATCCTAAATGCATCCCTTTGTAGTGCAATACTTTTCACCAGGGTCCATCAGCCTGTGGTCAAAAGTAGTACACTATGTAGGGAATAGGTTGACATTTGGGACGTAGCCTACCTCTAATATGCCTCCATAAAAACCCAACTGAAATAGCCTCACAACTCCCATGTGTCACCTTGTAATGTATTGCTTATTAAAGAAATGTCACATTTAGTGAGTATGGATTGCAGACCTGAATTTTGTACAACGTAAACATTTCACCTGAACTGAACATATTATTTTTCATGTGGGAGTCAGTGTGGTGTACTGCTGAGGTGACAAGCACAAACGACCTTCCCTTCCTCATGTCAGTCTGTGTGTGTGTGTACGTCCAATTATGCATGTGTGTGTTTTCTCTAAAACTCCTATTTCCCTTCTATGTGCATATCTCCAGCTCCAACCCAAAGTTCTCAGGAAGAGGAATCAAAAACATTGAAGTCGGTGGCCTTGAGTGTCTGTCTGAAACACAATCTAGTGTAGGACTGTGAACTGTAATGTTGAGGCTTTTCAGCCCTGAGGAATGCCTTAATTAAAGTGATGCTACACTGCCTCACATTTAGAAAAGGACAAACAAAGCATACACAACTAATTTAGCTCTACACCTACACTACCTAACATTGATTAATGTGAAATGTCAAATAGATAAGATGAATATATAAAATAGCCAAGGGCAATATGTCATATTCAGAACCTCGGAGAGGAAAGACAACTTAATCTACGTTAGGAAACCTTGAGATAGATATCTGTCACATGTAATTTGTTTCTAGCTACACTGCTTGTTTGTAAAGTTTCCAACTGAAAAAGTGAAACTTCTTCTCATACATATTCAAACACACCTCTTACTAATTGGATATGTGAGTGTATCCCTTTTGGGTGCATTTATTTGTCATGCCAATTAAAAAGAAAACATTGAGTGCAGACAGTAGCAGTGGCATGGTGCGCTGGGTGAAACCATCACTGCCACCCACTCCTCTGGGTATGGCATTGTCTGCTCACCGTTTACTAGTCACTATACCCAGCAGTCACCCACCCACCCACGAACCAACACACACCCACCACACACACATGGGCTACAGATGTGTGTGGGATAAATGGAGTGGGTAGAGTACAGTTTGTTTTGGACTGAAATGGTCTACTGTTTTCAAATCCACTGTTCCTGAATAATATGAGCAATCTAAAGCCAATCTGAATAGAATTAGCTCCATCCGTCAAGAGGAAAATAAAACAGATATGCCAAGAACCATAATATAGACTAGACATGAGAAACATTGTCAACAGATGGTGCCTCTGGACTAGGCTACTCCCTGCCACAGTGGCCCCCTGACAGTGGCTTGGTTGAAATCAAACATGGAGCAATACTTCCCCCTAGTGGCTCAAAAATATCACCACTGCTTGAGGGAATAGTGGACAGGAACAGAGAAGTGTGTAATTTCAGACCGCAATTAGGGGCGTTTCTTGATATCAAGTTTCACCCATAGAGCCCATAGTGGAGGTGACATAATACCCATAAAATCTCAAACAGGGAAATGGTTCCAATCGTTTTTCCACCATTCATTTTTCCCATAGGGGATTTTAGAAACACTTCAAATAAGGGCTGTGCTTCGTGTAGGCTTACCCTGATTACCATGTAAATCTCTATCGGACAAAGGTGACTTTTATCAAATCATCTGTGTTGAGAAACCATCAGTCTCATAACACTGGAACTGACCAATGGCAGGCACCAAAGGGAGTTTCCTGATATCAAGAAATGACCTAATCAAGAAATTCCCCGAATTGCAGTCTGCAATTACACCATATTGGAGAAGCAGGGAAGGAATTCAACTAAATAAGGAATCCTTCAGAATTGCAACTTCGATTGTAGAAGAACTGCCTTACAAACCATGTTTCCACCAGTGGAGGCTGCTGAGGGGAGGATGGCTCATAATAATGTCCGTAACGGAGCAAATGGAATGGCATCAAACACTTGGAAACCATGTGTTTGATGTATTTCATACCATTCCACTGATTCTGCTCAAGGACCGAGTTTGGGAAACCCTGTATTAGGTTACAGATGAAATAAATGATGAACTTCACAGGGTGGTGAAAGTACAAGGTGATGAGCTTGATGCTCCTTTCCAATAAATATTGAGGGTCTTATTCTGGTGACATGATGATCAATGCTTGGCTGCCGTTGAATCTCATAATGTAGGCTGTAGGCTATACCCGAACTGTATCTGCTAGCTGTTGGCTAGAGCGCACGTGCCAATACCAGAGTGGGCACATTTGCTATATAACGTTGTTTTTTTGGGGGGGGGGGACAAAACCCTCAGTAAAGTTTAAAATGTGATGGAAACCCATTTAACTTGTATTTTTCATTCGCTACATGGGAATTTAACCACAAACGTTTTTGTTATGTGCCTTTAACCATAACAAGTCAATTTGATGGAAACATCTCTGGTGGGAAAATGTGCATATTGTTTATATGGGGATTTTAGAATATTCGCAGTAAAATCTGACGCCAATTGGATGGAAACGTAGCTACGGTGACAAATACATTTGCACTGCGAAAAGACAAACAACAGAAACGAGATATGAATATCAACATATGTTTAATGTAAAATTAATTACTCCCCAAAATCTATGAATACCAAACAATAAAATCAAGTCTCAGAAATGCAGAATCAAACTGTTAAACTCCCCATAATGCATAAGGCTACTTGTTTGGGATCGTTTGATATGTCCAGCACTTAAACCATGGCGTTGAAAATGACAAATCTTTTTAAATAATCTAACTCGTTAATTGGTCAGCAACCTGCTATATTATGAAGTGTGTAAATCAAGGTGTTGGTCTTTATTTGGTTCTAACTAATGTGCAGAGATGTTGAATGAAGTAACTCAATACTAATAACTGTACAGTGTAAGTGCTCATGTGGCAAGGTTATGAATCTGGGACGGTCACACACTGATTTGTCATCACAAAATGGAGGTTTATCATAATCATATAACAATAACATCACTTAAAGTCATCGGCAACCTTTCTATTCTATGCTTATAGTTATGTTTCAAATGGGTCTCTAGTTGACTTCCTCCGAGTTCCAACAGTATTTGATACTACATATTTTACAACATTGTTATTGTTTGTCTTTGTCTTTGTAAACACATCAAAATCCTCTGCAGTGAGGTCATCATGATCAGGCCTGTCCATTTACAGCCCTGGGAAGGAAGGAAGGAACCAGATAGTTGGGATACTAAGGGTTCGTCCCAATAATATCTCCTTTCTCCTGAAGTGTGCACTCGTTCACTACTTGCTACAAATCTAAAAGCATTGGATTGGTGGAGGAATGTGCTAGTGGGAGTTTCCACCAACTTAGAGCAGTAATTTCCTTTCAAATCAGTGAAGGGAAATAAACAAATGCACACTAAGGGAGGAAGGAGATGTATAGTGAGCTCCAAAGGTATTGGGACAAAGACACATGTTTTGTTGTTTTGGCTCTGTACTCCAGCACTTTGTGGAGTATCATTTCGATACAGACAGTCAGCATTAATTTGAGGGTATTTTCATCCACATCGGGTGAACCGTTTAGAAATGACAGCACTTTTTGTACATAGTCACCCCATTTTAGGGGACCAAATGTATTGGGACAATTTCACTTATATGTGTATTAAAGTAGTAAAAAGTTAAGTATTTGGTCCCATATTCATAGCACGCAATGACTACATCAAGCTTGTGACTACACATTTGTTGGATGCATTTGGTGTTTGTTTTGGTTGCCTTTCAGATGATTTTGTGCCCAATAGAAATGAATGGTAAATAATGTATTGTGTCATTTTTGAGTCACTTTTATTGTAAATAAGAATAGAATATGTTTCTAAACACTTCTACATTAATTTGGATGCTACCATAATTACGGATAACCCTGAATGAATCGTTACATTAGACGCACAAATACCAAACACCTCAAAAGTGCTAACCTCCCCTGTTATTGTAATGGTGAGAGGTTAGCATATCTTGGGGTTATGATATTTCTGCATCTGTAACTTCACTTTTTACTACATTAATACACATAATTGAATTTGTCCCAATACTGTTGGTCCCCTAAAATGGAGGGACTATGTAAAAAAATTGCTGTAATTTCTAAACTGTTCACCCGATATGGATGAAAACACCCTAAAGCACACAGTTTGCACTTTAACCTCATAGTCATTGTATCATTTCAAATCCAAAGTCCTGGAGTACAGAGCCAAAACAACAAAAATGTGACACTGTCCCAATACTTTTGGAGCTCACTAATTGGGACATAGCCATAGTCTGCCTACATGTTACAATGGGGTTACAGTAAATGCATTGACACGGCAGCAATCTTCAATGAATGGATATGACTAGGGATAGGAGTTTTCCCTGACTAGAAAAACACTGTGGATCCTAGTTAACTTTAAGGTCCAGAGTTTTTGTTCAGGAAAAAAACATATATTTTACATTTACATCATTTGGCAGAGGCTCTTATCCAGAGCGACTTACACATTTATATGACCTAAGAATAGACTAAATGGCATAACCAAGCCACTGACAGAGAGAACAAAGGATGAAGCTACGATGGACTGAAGATGTTAGCGATCATTATTAGTCTGTGATTGTACAATAATCATCACGATCAACCACTACATTATTTCCAACATGGTTTTCTTTCATCCGGTAGATTTCTTGGAAATGCATCGATCTCTCGCTCTCAATCTCTAAGGCAAATGCTGTTGGATGTTACAGATTAAAGGCCTGTAGAACAAAGTATCTTTTAAATCAGTTCTGAGAAGGTGCTTAGTATAGAACTCTGATGGGGACACTGGACTGGATGTCTGGACGCAGCACTAAAGGCCATCATTGGACTCATTGGATATTGGACATTATAGTAGCCTTTATCCTCTCCACTGTTGGCTGTTGTGTATATCTCTCCCTCCATCCCTCTCCCTCTTCTTCCAATGAGGCAGAGGGGTGTTCCAGAGGGAAGAGTTGTCCAGCAGTCAAACGCCCATCAACTCCACCACATTATCTCTTATTATTTATCATATTCCTCATCACAATAAATCACTTTCAAACAGTAGAAAATAGAAAACTGTTTTAAAACCTAGAAAACCAAAACAAAGTCGGTTTAGTGAGTGAGCATAGCTGGCAGGGATCGCTGAGGTGAGAAGGCAGGGAGGAGGACAGCACTTGGAAAGGCGGTAAAGAGTCGGTCGGCATCAGGGTTTGTGATTGGTCTAGCTGGGTCGGTCCTCCGAGTGTGATTGGCTGGGGTTGACAGAGCCCTCCTGCCAGTTGGGGCTGGGGGTTGGGGTGTATGGTGGCGGGGCTTCGCTGATGATGCTGGCAGAGTCTCCACCCTCAGAGAGAGGAGGAGGGAGGAGGGGGAGAAGGGCGTGGCAGGAGGGGCGAGAAATGTCCATTGCGTCACTCTGGGCAACCTCGCTGTATGGAGGAGGTTTTAGGTCATCAGCTGTGGGGTCAGAAGTTAGAGGTCAGTAAGCAGAAATACAGAAACTGAAGTGAACATCTTTGTGTGCAGTCTAAAGAAAATAGCAACTGTAAAGAATGTTGCGATGGTCGGCAAACATCCTTAAAACTCAGTCTCCAACAATCACCGGCCTCTTATTATTGGCTGGGCATCGTTTGAAATTAACACTGGTCGCTTATAAGCCCCGGGTCAAAAAAGTGAAATTACACATGCACACATTTGGCTCGTCTGCTCCAGTAGAATGTCACAGCATCGCCACCTGGTGTCAATTGATTGATCCCTGTATGTCAAATCACAAGTCTGTTTGTAAGCAGCAAGAATTTTTTAAAATAAGTTCTCCCCTTTTGTGACATTTGCAGTGCGTTCTAAATGCAACCACTGTTTTAAATATTTAACAGGGCTACCGGTGACAGAGCTGTAGAGGAACTTGTAGAGGATCTTCCACACCTCGAGTGGTATTAAACGCCAGCCTCCCATACGCACCAGGCCAACTCGGCAGTAGGAACAAATAAATGCCTGGGTTATTAATATAAGTTTTACGGTACTTCTACATACCTCTATTTGGTATTGTCCTAAATAATATAGTATGAGAGATCATAGGAGGAAGTAATTACTCAACAGACTCATATCCTCTCCTACCACATCCTGTTACTGTTCAGTGAGCTGGCTAGAATCAGTGTAGGGTAAAGTTACTCCTAGAAGCGGATCTTGGGTCAGTTTAGCATTTTCCGCTTACGGTTAACATTAGAATTGGGGGAGGGGAAGGTGCTTCTAGATCTGTACGTAGGGGAGACTTCACTCCTGAGCGCTGGAACGCCGGCCTACAACCCAGTGACAGGGGAACACGCTAGCTACGCAGGAGGAGGGGGAATAAGAAGGTACTTTTGACAGGGCATTTATGCAACGGAGAGGGACAGTTCCAGGACCAGTGTGTGGGTTTAACCCTGACATCAATTACATGTGTGAGTGGAGGAGGCTCTGTGATCATGGAAAGATCTGAGGGCTGAGGGTGTCTTTGATACGGCACACACACAATCACTGAGGGTGAGTGATCTAAGCACTAAAGATCTAAGTCACAGTGCAGTCAAGCAGGGAAGTCCTCATTCACCAGAGCTCGGTTCCTATACGTCGTGTCTGCTACTGTAGTGACTGGGACAGGAGGGAAATAACACTCCCCTTTTGAATGTGACGAAGACCATGCCGTTAGAAATAATGTCGTTATTGTATCACTAAAGAGCACTTCTGGGAAGAGCAAACAATGAGTCATTTTTTGTGTCCAGCTCCTGTGTTATGGCTGGATGTGCGTAATCACTCCTTTCAACAGGGTAAGATGGTGTATCTTTAGCAGCAGTGTGTTTGTGACGGGGTTAAAACAAGCCTGTTGGCAGTGGTACCAGACGGCCAGCCAAGCAGTGCTATTATATACTGGGAGATGTGGGCTTTTTCTCTCCTGGGTTGTGTTCACTAGGAACCAAACCGAAGCAAACAAAAAGAAACGGGGAGGGACTACTTGAACTTGTCCAATAGGAAACGTGTTTTTGTTGCAAAACATTTTCTGTTCTAAAACATTTTGCTACGGTATGCACTAATGAATAAGACCCTGTTTGTCCCCGTGGTCTGTAAGGCTGCTGCCTAAAGGCTCAAGACCTCAGCACCAGGATGGCTGAATGAACAACCCCTCTGAAGGAGAGTTAGCTCAGTGAGCTAAATGTAGTGGTGAAGACAGGCTCAAGGTAGCCTTATTAAATCCTGAGTAGGGTGTAGTATTTATGAGAGATAAAGGCCATCAACTCTTTAGGTGTAACTTTAGCCCCTTCTTCGGTGGCGTTTCTATGATACATTTCCTGCAGTTTTGTCTTGTCACCTAACCATATCCTGTGTGTGTTACCTCCGGAGACGGCTTCATATGGTGGAGGCATGTCCATGTGAGAGAAGGATGCTGCCGGGGGGAGAGAGGTGGAAGGCTCGCCCACTGACTCCTCATCCTGAACCCCATACCAACTGGGCCAGATAGATGTCTGGGGGACAGAGAGAGCGAGAAAGTGAGAGAAGGAATTAGTACCACACATACGCACACTTTCATTTTCAACTGGAGTGTGATGATAAACACAAGCTAAACAGAAGCTAAAGCTCACTAGTGGCCAAAAGACAGAATCTTCACCCTGCATCTGCCCGTCTCTCTCTCTCCCTCCCTCCCAGGCTGCATCCCAAATGGCTCACTATTCCCTATATAGTGCACTACTTTTGACCAGAGCCATATGGGCTGTGGTCAAAAGTAATGCACTTTATAGGGAATAGGGTGCTATTTGGGATGCACCCTGTCTCTGGTCTCCCCCTGGCCTGTCTCCAGAGCCCTTTCAGGGAGGCTGCTGCCTGCCTGCTTGAGTTATGGATGGTTCTGGGGCCTCATCGCTGAACATTCCATTACAATCTAAACAGGGAGCATCATGCTTTAGACTAGAAGACTGAAAGAGGAGATGGGGAGGAAAAGGAAAAAGAGAAGTAGGTTGAGGTGAGCCAGAGAGGGGTTGTACTAAAGCAGTGAGGCAGTAAAGGCTTGAAATGGAGTGCAAAAGACCATTAAAGATGGCTCACTGGGGTAATAATATAAATAATAAATAATAATATGCCATTTAGCAGACGCTTTTATCCAAAGCGACTTACAGTCATGCGTGCATACATTTTTTTGTGTATGGGTGGTCCCGGGGATCGAACCCACTACCTTGGCGTTTCAAGCGCCGTGCTCTACCAGCTGAGCTACAGAGGACCACGAGGTGTGGGGGGTGTGGCCGAGAAGGACCAGGTGGAATCACAGGGTTTGAACACTCAGCTTTACCTGGGTTCTGTTACATTCAGCTACATTCTGACTGACATTCTAATTCGGTATGTTAACGGTTAACCGTTAAATCTGCGAAAATGATATCATGCTTATTAGTCTATAGGGTCATTGGCGCGTGTATTTTCGTTAGTCGTCATGCATCTTATTTATCACATGCTCACAGCATACGGAGCCTAGTTTGAGGAGCAGAATAGCCTATCAACTGTTCTCAAAAACTGGTACTGGAGTGAAACGTGCCAAGTCATTGCGCAACAAATAATGATAAAGGCAAATCAAGTGTTAAAAACCGTTTTGATGGCCACGATTAAAAATAGCTACTCTTTTTATTTCTCAATCAACTCCCAATCGCCATTCAAGTGCATAGGCTATAGTCAATGGTAGGCAGGCTATCAGCGCTTAATTATTTTATAAAGATGTCCTCATGCCATTAACTAGCATTTCTCTCCTGTTCTATTTGTTTTCATATCAACTTTCTTTCGTTGCCCAGAAGCCAAAGGCACAATCCTAGTCATATTAGCATCCCATCCTAGTTTTTGCTATTAGATTCTCCCTCTAAGTTTCTAACAGAGGTTTATCTCTGTCACAAATTGAACCGCTCGTATTAGGTGCATTTTTTAGAACAGTGTTTTCCCGCAAATTGCATTTGTTTGAAAACAAAGTTTTATTAGCTGGTCATTACAGGAGTTGCATGTTCAATAATAGGCTATAGCCTTTTGACTGTAAGGCGACAGGCTTGCTACTGTTGCATGTTTCCATTCTAATTACAAATGTCTGTATGCATGCATAGTATTTTCTGTAGGTCACGTCATGTTACGGTTTGGAATTGTTTTACCGTTTGTTGACCAGTTAATGAGAGAGTTGGTTAGTCGGCGGTAAAATTGACCGAAATGTGCATCCCTAATTCTAATTCCAGCCTAACAAAACTGTAAGGTTTTCTCCTCCTGTACAAAGATCTCCAGTTACTTGAACTTGGTTTCCTAGTAGAGCCGTTTCATTTCAGGTCCAAATACACTAACATAATCAAAAACAGAACAGGCTTCAGTTCAAATCAAATGTTCAGATCAGATCAGATCAAAGGCAGAGATACTGAAGCAGATACAGTAAGGTCTTTACTGGGGGCAACTTCCTAAAAAAGAGCTAGCTAGAGGCTGGAATCTACCGTTAACGACTACAGACCTCATTCTTAGAATTGGGGCATTTCCGTTATGAGAAAGTTACTAACAACACTATAAATAGCCTAAAAACCTCACCTGGAAGACAAGGGGCACCTATAGTAATTCAGTAAAGGCAAGCCAGGGACGGTAATAAAGCACAATTGTTTTTGTGTGCATTTTGACATTTCACTGCACCCATCCAGTTTATGTAACAATAAAAAAAGGAGACTACCTGCTCGGAGTAGCCTAACGACTTGGGGCCCTGATATAAACTTTGAGAAACTCGTTTGAGTAACATAGTATTTACAGTCCTTTTTGCATGTAAAACAGTGCTCTTTCTATCCAGTCAATCAGAAAGATATAGACCTAGGCCAGGATAGTATGGAACCATTCTGAATGCTATTAAAAAGGGACAGCAGAGTCGAGTTGGAGAGAGAGATGTTGAATTTGTTCACTCATAGATTGTTTGAGCCAGGTTTTCATTCATGGAGATTGCTTCCAGGTGTTCTACAAAGAAGCTGTTAAAACGTGTTCGAAGAAACTCCGCAGAACACAAAGGCAGAACGTACTGGAAGGAGGGTTGATGTCAGTTTTTATAATGCCACCTTGGTTTTGAAGTCTTCTCCCAGACTTATCTATGAAAACATCAAAGTCACAGGTCAGTGGTTCTGGAGATATTAGTCCACAAAGGACAATAAAACTAAGACCATCTACAACAGATGGTAACACTTGGTGTTTAGGGAGGAGTCCTTGGCCAGTACAACAAAGGAATGCAGAAGTTGCATGAATGTCACTTTGAAAACTCCAGGAAACAAGATGTGGTAGTCTGTCCTCTTCTCGAAGGTTCCATGGAATCGTGGGAAAGATTGGAATGTTTTCTTACCACTGTATTCAGATTGTTAGCACATAAGCAGGCCTATTTGGTTTAATTTCACTCATATTTGGATTTCAAATAGGCTGACTTCTGGGGCCTCGAGGAAAACTAAGCTATTCTATCTGGCCTTAGTCTTCTCTCTTCACTGGAGCACTTCTCTTGCCCTGTCCATCTTAGCTGTTCCTAATGGCTCAGAGACTTTCACAGGCATGGGTTAGATTTGGCAAGTGCTGGACAGTCACCGGTAGAAAAACCTATCCCTTACGCTGCTTCACAAAGCCCTGAGACCTTCCAGAGCCCTGACGTTTCATCAAGGTCACCATCTCACAAACACACACACACCCGTACATGCACACAAACTACTGATACACACATACAGTGCATTCGGGAAAGTACTCAGACACCTTGACTTTTTCCACATTGTTACGTTACAGCCTTATTCTAAAATGGATAAAAATGTTTTTTTTTGTGTGTGTCAATCTACACACAATATCCCATAATGACAAAGCAAAAACAGGTTTTTAGAAATGTTTGCAAATGTATACAAAAATAAATGAAATATCATATTTATATAAGTATTCAGACCTTTACTCAGTACTTTGTTGAAGCACCTTTGGCAGCGATTACAACCTTGCGTCTTCTTGGGTATGACGCTACAAGCTTGGCACACCTGTATTTGAGGAGTTTTTCCCATTCTTCTCTGCAGATCCTCTCAAGCTCTGTCAGGTTGGATGGGGAGCATCGCTGCACAGCTATTTTCAGGTCTCTCCAGAGATGTTTGATCGGGTTCAAGTCCAGGCTCTGGCTGGGCCACTCAAGGACATTCAGAGACTTGTCCCGAAGCCACTCCTGCGTTGTATTGGCTGTGTGCTTAGGGTTGATGTCCTGTTGGAAGGTGAACCTTCGCCCCAGTCTGAGGCCCTGAGCACTCTGGAGCAGGTTTTCATCAAGGATCTCTGTACTTTGCTCCGTTTATCTTTCCGTCGATCCTGACTAGTCTCCCAGTCCCTGCCGCTGACAAACATCCCCACACTCTACCATAAAGGCCTGATTGGTGGAGTGCGGCAGAGATGGTTGTCCTTCTGGAAGGTTTTCCCATCTCCACAGAGGAACTCTGGAGCTCTATCAGAGTGATCATCGGGTACTTGGTCACCTCCCTGCCTAAGGCCCTTCTCCCCCGATTGCTCAGTTTGGCCGGGCGGCCAGCTCTAGGAAGAGTCTTGGTGGTTCCAAACTTCTTCCATTTCAGAATGATGGAGGCCACTGTTTTCTTAGGGACCTTCAATGCTGCAGACATTTTTTGGTACGCTTCCCCAGATCTGTCTCATAGCAAAGGGTCTGAATACTTATGTAAATAAGGTATCTGTTTTTTTATTTTTAATACATTTGAAAACAATTCTAAAAACCTGTTTCACTTTGTCATTATGGGGTATTGTGTGTAGATTGATGAGCGAAAAAAATTATTTTATCCATCTTAGAATAAGGCTGTAACGTAACACAATGTGGAAAAAGGGAAGGGGTCTGATTACTTTCCGAAAGCACTGTACACACAAACGCCTACTAAACAAAGCGTGGGATGCTGAGTAATCGGCACAGTGAGAAAGCCTCCCATTCTCAGTCAGTCAATCTGAGTGGAAGTAACTCATCTAAAACCACAAGCACTTCCAGGAACACAAACTTCCCACCCCCCCACACACAAACCTCTGAAAGGGCAACCTTTAGCAACCCTCCTGACCTCTTCCTCTTTACTCAGATTCAATATTATGTGCTTCCCTGTGCTGAACTGGAACAAAACAATGTGACTCTAGTCTCTCAATAACCCTAATTAGTAGGTCTGCTTCCCAATTAATTTTCACAGAATGTGTGCCTGAGAACCATGTCGCAGACAGGAGGCCACCTCCCCCCAAACCTAGTCAAATTGGTTGCCAATTGGTATACAATTACTTATATATAATCAGCCTTGTATTTTGTATCCATCCATGGCCTTGGTTTAATGCACCAATAACAATAGATGTAGAAGAACCACAACTACTTACATTCGGTCTCTCACACGTCTGATGCAGATAGGCCCTCCCTCCCACGATGACTATCTGGGCATTACGAGGGTTGCTGAGGTACGCGGCCAGCTGTCTCTGACGCGAGCGGTACCAGCACACGTAGAAGAAGATCTTGATGATGATGAACACGATGACCACTCTTGAAGGAACACAGAAAGGAGAGAAAAGTAGCAGCATGTTTTGAATTGAATGTTGTTCACATTGTAATTCTATCCATGAAATCCTACTGAATCATGTGAATCGAAGTGAATGCAAAAGAAGTAGAATAGAAATGTAGCTAGCTAGCTACTTACATGTACCAGTACAACTCCATATTGAGATCACTAGTTGCAGGGTATCATGGTGCCTGAAACACAAAACAGAGCAGTGTTTAGACATTTTCAGAGGCACAGCCCACTGTGTGTGTTCTTCTAAAATAAGATGGTAGAGAGAATTTGTTTACTGTAAACCCAAATGGAAAACTCAGAATGGAAACCATAGCTACGTCACCTCTGTGAAGAATAAAGGAGTCCCCTTCAATCTGCAAGACACAATGTGAGCAACAGTTCAACATCCAATCCAAGGGATGTTTTGTTGTTTTAAACAGCATTAACTCATGGGAGAGGCATTTACTCCTCCAACCATGTAGCTAGCCAACCAAGTAAAACTCAACTCCACAATGTACTTCACATCAACGGAGTTGAGCGGAGACGAGACTGTGTGGACTGTATCTCCGACTACATCGAGTCGCCGAAGGTCGATACTTCTTAAAAAGGACAATTCCACCACTATAACCAGTTATTAAGTTGTTATTACACTGAGTATACAAAACAACCTGTCTTTCCATGACAGACTAACCAGGTGAATCCAGGTGAAAGCTATGATCCCTTATTGATGTCACTGTAGTGTAGATGAAGGGGAGGAGTCAGGTTATAGAATGATTTTTAAGCCTTGAGACAATTGAGACATGGATTGTTTATGTGTACAATTCAGAGGGTGAATGGGCAAGACAAAATATTGAAGTGCCTTTGAACGGGGTATAGTAGTAGGTGCCAGGCGCACCGGTTTGAGTGTGTCAAGAACTGCAAATTGTGCTGGGTTTTTCACACAACATTTTCCTGTGTGTATCAAGAATGGTGCACTACCCAAAGGGCATCCAGCCAACTTGACAAAACTGTGGGAAGCATTGGCGTCAACATGGGCCAGCATCCCTGTGGAACGCTTGACACCTTGTAGAGTCCATGGCCCAAATAATTGAGGCTGTTCTGAGGGCAAAAGGGGGTGCAACTCAATATTAGGAAGGTGGTCCTAATGTTTTATACACTCAGTGTATATCGTAATAGTTGTTCAAAATAAATTACAAAACGATATTCGATTTTTTGCCCAGGCCTGTTGGAACTAATAAAAAGTATGACGTTTATAAGTAAGTCAATACGAAAATATAGGCTATTTGGAAAGGGCACAATGGCTGCCGGAGCTGCAACTTCGGTTAGTGATGGTTGGAGTGGTTTTGCTAAATGGAATCATTGGAAAAATAAAATAAAAAACTGACTATAAATATATTTCTATACGTTTTTGACCATCAATTTAAATTTTTTACAGATGTTGTTATTTATTTATTTAGACAAAAGGACAACCAGAGCAACATAGCAAGGAGTCCAAAATGATCAGAAAACTACAGACAGGTTATATTAGGGTGTTAGGTGATGCGACAAACAATAGACGCTATGCGAGAATTCTACAAGAAACAGCAGGGATCAAATCAATTTTCACTAAATGTCAATAATGTTGTCATCAAAATACATAATTTGAAAACATGAATGTGGAAGCTGTAAAAATCAAAATACTGTACAGTATGATATTTACGATATGAGCCCAAATATAAAGTAAGTGCTGTGCTTAGAAAGTTCAATTCTGTGGGACGGCCTTTATGAAACCCATGAAATCGGTGTGTTGATGTGTTCATATTTGCTCTTTGGTAGAGTGAGGAATACCCATCGCAGAGTAAGATCGATGTGACATTGTATTGCCAACAAATATGGGAAAGTCCTGAGGATGTTTTACGGTCATCACATGTCCTTGGACTGAAATACAAGGTAAAACGTTTTCCCTTCGCTCAGGTCATTCAGATGTTTTCAGAGACACAAAAAAAAAAACATAGCATGTTACAAAGTAGAGCTTCGTAGCTACATTTTGGTGTATGGGTTATCAGGGATTGGTCCAAACTCACGTGGCACCACCCTTTTTCATGATGAGATGGTAGCCAACTGTGTGAGGGAGTGTTTGTTGGCTTGAATTGTTCGCTGAGGTAATGCTCTGGGCAAGAGGCAGCACTGCTCTGCAGTGGCTGTATTGTGCCAGCAGCGAATTTTGTGTTTGATGGTTTTATTATTTCAAGTGTAAACTACCAGAATGCAGTGGCTACAGCCCTACAATCGATAAAAACATAGCTAAATACCAGTGAATTGAAAATGTGTCCTATCTTTCTGTGCAGGTGACTACCAGGCAAATCACTGTCTCAGCCTTGGAAAATGATTTGCTGCAGTTTATCCTCCCATCACTAGAGTAACTCATCAACAACAAACATTTCAATGTAACCCAACTCAGGTTTAGGCCTACCTTAGAAGTAAGCTCCAGTATTATTAACAAATCTTCATGCTTTATGAAAAAATGAGAGTTCGTAATAATTTATGAAATTAGAATGCAACATTTCATACTACTTTATGCAAATTAGCTAGTGAATTGCAACGTTCCATTCACTTCAATGGTATTTGTTTTTATTTTTAGCCTAATCGACACCAGTGTGGAAGAACTTGACCAGCCTGCACAGAGCCCTGACCTCAACCCCATTGAACACCTTTGGGATGAATTGGAAAGCCGACTGCGAGCCAGGCCTAATCGCCCAACATCAGTGCCCGACCTCACTAATGCTCGTGGCTGAATGGAAGCAAGTCCCCGCAGCAATGTTCCAACATCTAGTGGAAAGCCTTCCCAGAAGAGTGGAGGCTGTTATAGCAGCAAAGGGGACCAACTCCATATTAATGCCAATGATTTTAGAATGAGATGTTCAACAGGTGTCCACATACTTTAGGCCATGTAGTGTTTGACCACCCTACCTTAAATGATTAGTCTTAAATTACTGTCATAAGGCCTTTGTATTCTGTACTGCCTCATTTGCATATTAAGTGCCACATTTCCATAACATTTCAGTTTAATTTAATAAATTGTCCTTTTATTTTAATCAACTGTGTTCTACATCAGCCCTGAAAATGTCATAACAATATGACCACGCTATCTTGAGATATTGGACAAAACGTGTTGAAATAATAATAAATAATATTCTACTGTATCTTAGTCCATGCCGCTCTGTCATTGCTTGTCCATACATGTATATATTCTTAAATTCCATTCCTTACTAGATTTGTGTGTATTGGGTATATGTTGTGAAATTGTTAGATATTTCTTGTTAGATATTACTGCACTGTCAGAGCTAGAAGCACAAGCATTTTGCTACACCCTCAAGAACATCTGCTAAACACGTGTATGTGACAAATAACATTTTATTTGAAATTAAGAATTCAGACAGGTAATTTGGTGCCATTATTGACTAGGGATTAACATTGACCAGTCTGTGACCTTTTTGACCTTTTCTGTTCACTTGAAAATAAGATCTCAGCAATGGTAAGTCCTATCCTCATGAAATAAAGTGTTCTGTGTTCCTGGGAAGCTTCTCAATAACATGGAATACATGAGTATAACACCAGAACCACAGTTTCGTTTTGACCCCTAACACCCTAGTTATATAGATCGCTGAAAATGACTGCCCATAATTTACTGTATTAGTCATCTCAGGGATCCTTCTTAAAAAATGAAACAGACAAGCAATTTCCGGTTTTGCTCATCATTAAAACAGTCAATAGACATGAAATAATAAAATTACACAAACTGTTTGGGACATCACTAAATACTTTATAATAATAACGCAAAATGTAAAAGTGTCGGAGTTGTCCTTTACCCTTACCGTGTACTTATGTTTGCCCCTCTGTAGCTGCGTGTCTTTGTTTGCTCAAATCTGTACTTCTTAATAAAACGTTAATCAAATACAATCAGCGACTGTTTCCTCATATCGACCGAATCGATGTAGTCGGAGGAGGTACACTCCGCCCACGTTCATGTGAAGACAGTACATCGTGGAGTTGAGTTTTACTTGGCTAGTAACTAGTTAGCCTGTCAACTACTACTAGAAAACACAGCGAGTTATACAAACAAAAACTGCCAGCTAGTTAGCAAATCAAAAACAGTCTAAAGTAGCTAACTAAGTGTTATATTTCTATTCTAAAGAGGACAGCTATCTAGCAAGAACTTCTTACAAGGGTACTAGCTAGTTAGCTAATGTAGCTACTAATTAGACAAGCTAGCTAACGTTTGCTAGCCAGTTGTTTACGTCGTGCTAGCTAATAGTAAACTTAGCTAATTAGCTAAACAGAACTAATAATTTACTTACCGTATCAACGAAGTATATCATTCAGAACTGCTTCCCAGGCTTGTCATTATGTTTTCCTTTCAGTTGTGTGGCTTGCAGGTCATTAGCTAATGTTAGCCAGCCAGCTAGCTTTTGCTTAGCGTAAACATCAATTTATTCAAACGTTGTCTAGTGTAATCTGCATGCTAAGGTAATCCACTGACTACTTGTCAGTTACCAAAATAGATTTTCCTTACAAACACTGCGATTTAAACAGTTTTAAGACCGAAAGACGAAAGCGAAGAGTTGTAGCTTCCTCTTCTTCTTCAAGGCTTTATGGCAGACTACACCTATTGGTGTATTGCTGCCACCTACTGTATGGGAGACCCGAAATCATACAAAATACCAAAAATAAATTTAAAAAAACATCCCACTCCTTCAGTCACAGTCCAAATCACATCCCTAAACAGTTTTTATTTATTTAATTTTTTATTTTATTTAACCAGGTAAGCTAGTTGAGAACAAGTTCTCGTTTACAACTGCGACCTGGCCAAGATAAGCAAAGCAGTGCGATAAAAACAACAACACAGAGTTACACATGGGGCAGAGCTGGTGGCCGGGGTAAGGGTAGCCAGGTGGAAAGCATTGCCAGCCGTAGCAACATGCTTATTGAAATGTTTGATTATCGTAGATTTATCGGTGGTGACAGTGTTTCCTAGCCTCAGTGCAGTGGGCAGCTGGGAGGAGGTGCTCTTACTCTCCATGTACTTTACAGTGTTCCAAAACGTTTTGGAGTTAGTGCTACAGGATGCAAATTTCTGTTTGAAAAAGCTAGCCTTTGCTTTCCTAACTGATTGTGTATATTGGTTCCTGACTTCCCTGAAAAGTTGCATATCGCGGGGGTCTGTTTGATGCTAATGCAGTACGCCACAGGATGTTTTTGTGCTGGTCAAGGGCAGTCAAGTCTGGGGTGAACCAGTGAATGGGGCATGCTTATTTAAGATGGAGAGGAAAGCACTTTTAAAGAACAACCAGGCATCCTCTACTGACGGAATGAGGTCAATATCCATCCAGGATACCC